GTTCTCCCTTGGGGAGGGGGTAAAGTTTACTATAGTTTATATAGGGAAATAACACTTTTGGGTATATATTTTATCCATTTTCAGCAGAAAATTATTCAAACTTAGTCAGAATCATCTTTGGTGAATGAGAGTATTACTTTGTAAAATTGGGATTCCTGCCCCATCCCCAGGGGCTAGGGCGGGGCCCCAAAGGGAACATTTACCAATATTTTCAAATTCTTATCCTTTGATGACATGACTAGTATTGTATTTCACTTAGTTTACATGCTGATTTCCACATCACATCTAAGCAATAAAATAAAGCTGCCAGTACCTATGATATAACACAGGTGACCGCTAAGGCCCTTGGGCCTCTTGTATTTCTTATGTCATCACTTCTCATTAAATATCTGTAAACCGCAGATTATACCAAACTGTTTAATCACGCAATATTACTGTGTGAAATAAATAGTAATAGACATGTATAGTTATAGTCAAAGAAGATGCGAGAAGCTTTCGTTTGTTGGGTATACTAAATCAGCGCACCAGTTTCATGTGCCATGTAGTTATAGTCAAGAAGACGTAAAATCTTTCTTTTGTTGGGTTTACTAAATCAGCGCACCAGTTTCATGTACCATATATATTGCGACACATACATACAACTGCTATATGATAATACAAGTATGGACATTATAACAGCTTTATTTTCTAGACATAGACAAAACAAACAACGTGTTGAGAGTGTGTATAATTGCTTCAATAGCCTTTCTTCTTTGGAGGTTTAGGGAGCGGCAGGTCTAGCTTCTTTCTCTCTGGTTTTTTACTTTGGGCAGGTTTCTTGGGTAGAAATCCCGTCAATATATCGGGCACCATATTCAGTACCTGTGTATTAAAATCATATTTTATGAGTAGTATCATAACTGTAAACAGATGTCCGGGATATTTCGACCACAGTGGTGCACGTTTTCAATAATGTCAACAACAACAAAACAACCAGATTGGCACGTCCGTTTTGCACACAAAAATATAAAAAGGTCGCTATATTTACTGTATTTAATTTACTGTTATCCTAGGTTTACTCCTTGGGAATACATTGTTTTCATTATAATTAATTTTAAGCTGGATGTGCGTGTTCGTCTCCCATTTATTGTTCAGATAAGTATGAAGAAACTTGATTTTGTGTGTGTTCCAATTGGCGTTCATATTGCTAGTGACTGCCCCTTGAAAGCAGCCCAGGTCTTAAACTCACCTGGAGCGTGTCCTTGCAGAACCCGGCTTGAGCGGCCATAAACTGGCTGTACTGATCGGCCACAAACCGACGTTGTCTGGAAAACAAGGAACGGTCGGGTTAAACAAAGATTTTACTGTAACATCCACGCTCGTATGAAACGTTTTGCTGACGCTGGATTAGTTGTATATGTTTTGTCACACTTTGGTGTATGATACCTCTGTTATGTCCGTATGTCCGACTTTGTAATAATCATATCGCACTCGCCAACGCACTTTATAATAATGATTACAACGTGAAGAATTGTTGAAAATGAGTTGTTGAGCATTCCTGCCATAGGTCACATTCTGTCTAGCGAGACAGCATTGGAAAGAAAGATAAGTAACAGAGAAGATGAATACTTGCACTGTCCAAGCTAGGTGTGTTTGAAGTTATTGCCAAATTTTAAAGTTTGCAGACTTAATCATAAATACATGTACCTTAAAACCGCGCATTTTACGCAATTAGGTTATACCAGGCTATACGGTACAGGTCTTAAACTTATTTGGAGTCTTTCCCTTACAATATATTACGATACAAAATAACATAGCACATATATTTAGATAGATACATTAGTCTACAAATGAATCATGAAATACGAACCCAGTCTGTAGCTCCTTTATCCGAACCACTAAACACCTATCAATGTCCAGACAGTCAGCAAGCTTGGAGTCCATCGCCTTCTGTGCCTAAACAGGAACAAAACAGAGAGAGATCATAGGTTGCTATTGTGGCAGGTTTTGACTGTACATTCGCGACTAGGCATAGGCCATACCTACATCACACATAGCTTTATTTTGCATTGGGGATCAGCCATTTACAGTCAAACACTTTATGATTGAATGCGCTGATTTCAAACAATCCTCTATGAAACGTTTATTCGATACAGTTTCAGTGCAATCAATCTATGATTATTTACATTAAATTAATCTCTATAATAAGATATGATACATATTATAAATAATTCGTTTGCTATTGATATATTTTGACATCTTTACACATTTTAACCCTTTGGATCTTGTTTTAATGTATTCAGTTTTTGTGAATGTCTATTTTTACGCTATTGTTTTGCCCTAAATGACTCAAATTGTCGATGGGCCGTAAAACAATACAATACAGCACATAAGCGTGAGGTCGCCGTCTAGCTTCGAGCTAGAGGGGATTTCCCTTTAGCTCAGTGGTAGAGCGTCCGAATATGAACCGAGGGATAGTGGGTTCGATCCCCGGTGGACGCACACTATTTCCTTTCCTGTTACACTATTGATACGGCAGCTATATATAGTATTGTTTATATTTATTTGTTTATTGTTTCATTTCCACAAATCTCGATGAGTATCACCGGTAGACAACTAAGTGTCGTTAGTGTACTATTAAACTACACATTGGTGCAAAAGACTTGGACTGAGATAAGATATAAACAAGTTCAATATGTTCATGAAAACGTGCATGATTATACAAGATATGTCGACGTTTGGAAACAGATCTATATAAAATGATTGTACATCTACGTTTGGGATAAAATCTACATTATCAAAACATCAGTTTAGTAATTTCTTTATTTGACGTACCTTTTCCTTTTCAGATTTCTTCACCATGAAACCTTCAGTTTTTATCTGCAAATGGAATTATATGTATGCGTTTTCATTGGTTCGTTCTGGGTGGTCAGTTTTGGCGCGTGTTTCTTTGTGGGCAAATAAATCACGCTAGCACCTTTTGAGGACTCATAGGTGACGGACGGAGAGATGTAATGTAAGTGTTTCTTTGTCTTTGTGTAATACCCAATGTATATGTATTATGTGTTTTATTTGAGTAATAATTCTATTTGGATCTAATCTAAGTATAGATGATTTGTTGTTAATTTAATAAGAAATCAGATATGATTAATGTATTTTTTATATTAAAACGTAATAATGGAGGTCATGTAATTTGATATTTTGTGAGCGGCGTTATTACGTTGTGCTCATTTGTCTAAGGTTCGATAAATTTATTTAGATGCCTTTTTATTCAAATTACAGTATATCCGTATCGCATATGATCAAAGAAGGCGTCGTGCAAATAGGTTGTAGCCAAGGCCTTGTGCCATACTCAGGTATGCTATAGTGTTTTTTTATGTAAGTATATATATATAGTATTAATGTGAGAAGGTGTATGTCGCTAAACTGCTAACTGTGAATTTAGTATATTGTCCAGTAACTTTGTTGAGTCAAATCTTCAGTTTGATTGCATTTCGTAAAAGTTGTAATTGTAATGTGTATTGCCTTATCGTTGATACTAGATTTGTTAGGGTAAGTTATGTAATCATGTAAGAGTTATTTCCCTTGCATTTGTACTATTAAATATGATTATGTATGTCTATTTTATATCTATGACTGTAGCTTGTACTTCGTGCTTGTTGCAGGTTTTTTTTTTGGTTTCTACAATGAGTGAATAAAACTGACAGTGAACAAAACCCAGAGGAGTTGTCTATCATTCACAACATAACCACCTCTACTACATTTTCATCAATACGCGTCCCTCTCAGCTTATCTTTATTCTTGTCCCTATTCCCCCAGCGTTTTAATTAGTAATCTATCTTCACTCGGTTAAAATGCTGTTGACAGATTAATTTAACTTATATTTGCTCTGTACAACCACGGACAGTACAGTATACGTCCCTGGTACAACTACGATCGAACTCACTTTAGTAAGGTGTATTGCACATGTGTAAAGAAACAGGAAGTTACGGTGCGCATGCCTGGCAACTATAGAACCTCCCGATTTCCTTTGGTCGGACCAGAGCAACTAGTGGTCGTCAGCGCATGTATGGTGTTTTGAAAGCAATGCAGTGATTGGTTGTTGCTTAATGGCATGTGTAAGCACATTAAATGTAACAGCCCGACTATGGTATACCTGTCAACGAGACGCTTGTCAACCACTTAATATAACACGATGAACAGTTTTGAAGCAATCGCTCCAGTGACTCAGAATGCTTAGGAGGTGTCCCGTCAATATCGTTTCATTCACAATACTCACACAAGTCACAGCAACGTGTACATGTATGGTTGGAGAACATTTGTAGCTGAATGGCCGAGTGCTGGAATAAAATTGTTTGGTATGACCAAAAAAAGATTACATACATATCTCATGAATCGAGCTAAATGGATCACCTTATAATTGGTCCGGAGTTCGGCGTATTCCTTCCTAGTTTTCTTACGAAGGTCGACTGCTTTCTGTAAAACAAATAGTGTGGTAAGTGTTATTTAAACCAGTAGGAAAGGTATAGAGTTCTGTTTTAAGTTATTTATACCAGTGGATACAGTTACTGTAAAGTATAGATCTATACATTTCAACACAAGTTAACCAGTATATATGACAGAGAAACAGGTAATGAAACGTATTTTTTGAGGAATAAAGAATGATGATGATGACTAATAGTCAAGTACAATTTCCTTTGTTGAACCTGGAACTAGGAGTGGGCTGAATTCCATTAAAAACAAAATTAAATAGATCATAAAAAAAACAGCGTGACTTACCAGTACCATATAGAACTGTTCCCCGAAATGTTTGAAACCTTTTCCCATCTTCTGGATATCAGTTTCTAATATTATCCAGAGCTGGGCCTGGTCCTAAAGAGTTGACGGAAAGTCATTATTATGATTAGACTGACAATGTGTAACCAAGGAAAGCATTTTATTATTATGATGTAATATTAAACAGACCAGGCATTACCAAGCATAAACGAGCCATGGCTATGTGCAATAAAAGAAAGAAGCGTTTCATTATTGGAATATAAAGTTAAACAGTCCAGGTATTGACCAAGTAAACGGTGAACCAACACCAAGTCACTGACAGCCAGATAAGTGTACCTATATGTCTGACAATGTTTAAAGCCCCTTATGCTCCTATGCCCGGGTTGGACTCCTGATGGCTGACCAACTTGTGTCCTACCTTTGAACATGTTTTATCTTATGCTGAATTAACGCTTGTCTGCATGAAATTTTATGGGGGTTTTAACACAGAATCAAGATATTATATCGGAGCAGCCGGTAGATGTGTTCTGTGAAACAAAGTTGAAGAGGTCGGACCCGACTTGGCTGTATAACTCCTCACATTCGTATTAACTTTTCCCAAGTATGCATTGTATTTAACAGGAAACATTACTGACCAGTCTAGCAAGATTCCCTTAATTATTACCGCCACCAGTTAACGTTGTAATAGCGAATTTCAAGCACTCGCATGTGACATAAGTGACATCGCATTTCTTGGGGGAAATCTATAATATCAGTTGTAGACATAAACTTTATTAGTTCTGTAGTTTAATATGTAACAATCTTATCCTGGTTGCATTACGTTGTAGTTTTTTTGTGTACCTCTAACAGGGCTTCGAATTCGTGAAAACGAGGCAGGGACTTGTCGCAAAGGGAGGTAACTGTTTTGTTAATGCCGTCCACCACCGTCTTCATGCTCCGAGACCCCCTCATATAGTTGTCAAGTTCCTTGCCCATCTGCTGGAAAGCCGTCTGTAGAAAAAGTGACACAATTATTGTCTGTGGATAATGAAGTATCATTGAATATGTATTTGTAAACAGAGATGTGTTATCAGACGGCGTTTTGGCGGTGACCACAGGGACCTGATAATTTGTTACAGCTATATTTGGACATAAACTAAGGTTTTCAGAGTAATTTTTCACGTTTTAGGGGTTTAGATCAACTTTCTGTAAACCCCCCCCCCCCCCCCCCCAATGGTGATATTATCCGTTTAATATCATCATTGGGGTGGCATTTTAAAACATTTTGAAATATTCAAATATTACCGAACTGCTTAAACTTATTTTACATACTTTCATATAGTTTCAAATTGTGAAATATTATCAGCTGAGGTGCCGTAAATTATTAGAGTTATGAAAGAAACAGAATTCTGCTCCCTAATCATGACTCAAGATCACTCGTTGGATTAGAAAAAACCAAATGCAGGATTTCTGTTCCATGAAATAAGATTCTGCATTTGTATTTCCCACTATATTGTTCATGGTAACTCACAGCTTGTCGGAGAAAGGCCGGGAGAAGGACCTCAAGCTCCTTAGTATCTGGAGAGGACGTTGACTCGCTGGCTACCGGAGAAGTGGCCATCTGGTATAACAATAACATAAAAATAATGTCAGGAGACACGTGGTAATCTGGAAACCTTCGTTCTGTGTAAATGTTCCGGATTGTTCGGAGAAAAAAATGTCAATCTGACATCTAAAAAACTGTCGACATGGTAGGACAACCAAAAGATGAGTGGAACCTTGAGTGGACCAGTTCACGGAACTGGGCATTTATTTAGCTTAAAAGTTGAAGATATACCAAAATTAAATTTTAAAGCCAAACTTAATGATATCAGTAATACACTAAAACATTGGTATAAAAGAAGACTGACTGTCCTTGGTAAGATTACAGTAGTCAAATCTCTATTAATTCCAAAATTGACTCATTTATTTATGAGCTTACCTAAACCAGAAGACAGACTTACTAAAGAATTAGAAAACATATTTTTCAATTTTATCTGGAATACAAGAGACAGAATAGCTAGAAATCAGATTATACAAGATTATAAGGATGGTGGATGTAGGATGACACACATTGTATCCTTTAATAAAGCATCGACATTAACCTGGATACGGGGAATTCTCAATTCTGACGCTACCTGGAAAACATTTCTGTTAGATGTATATAATATAAATGTTAACAAGTTGACAACTTTGGGTGACAACTATTACATGAGACTATCACAAAGATACAAAAACACTTTTTGGGTGGAAGTTTTTAGTACATTTGCTGAATATATCATAAAACTTAATATTAAACCCCCCTGACCTGCTAAAACTACCTTTATGGTTCAATACACAGATAAAGGTAGATAACTCCACCGTTTTTTTTATCAATGATGGTGTGATAAAGGAATTCAATTTTTATCCGATATGGTTCATATAGAAAATAACCGTCTTTATTCCTATGATGAATTTTGTCGAGTCTATGACTTCCGCCCACCTCAAACAGTGTTCTACGGCTTGAGAAGCTCACTTATGCCTTTATGGCTGACATGTACTTTAAACAATGCCTCGGTGGATTTGCAACAACCATTTATTCCAATTACCATAGAATTAATAAATAAAAGCAAAAAAGGAAGCAGAGACATGCATGATATTTTTATTTACAAAATTAAATGCACTAATAAATATATTGACAAATGGTCTAATGTGCTAGGTGTTGATGAAAATACTGAATTAATAAAATTACAAACTATAGTTTTCAATATAACAACAGATGTGACTCTGCAGTGGTTTCAATATAGAATTATACATAGGATACTTGCAACTAACACTTTTCTTACTAAAATTAAAATAAAAAATAACCCACTTTGTACATTCTGCAAACAATCTGAAGAAACTTTACTACACATATTTTTTGAATGTGAACATGTCGAGAGTCTTTGGCTACTTCTTGAAAACTGGATATTCTCTAAAACCTCTGTTTACATTAACTTTGCAAAACAAGATATTATATTTGGGAAAATAGGTAAAACATATTATGTGCAGAACCTTATTATGCTAATTTTTAAATATTACATTTACAAACAACGTATGAAAGGTGATACACTTTTCATAGAAAGTGTAAAGAGAGATATAGTGTACCATTATAAAGTGGACCAATATATCGCAACGTGTAAAGGGAATCAAAATACCCTTCTCAAAAAATGGAGACTCTTTTCTAACTTAATGATACCATAGCTTATCTACCAAATATTGTGTATTATTCACATATGCACCTATAACTTGTACCTAATTCGATCGCCGCCCGAGATGTGTAATAACCAATAATCCATTCCAACTCCAGACCGTTACGGTCACGAATACACAGGTACTACATGTGTAATGCACTTCTCGGAGGGGAATTCGAAAGTAATACTTAAATATCCAAAGTACGAGAGAAAGAGTGTATGCAAGAAAGAAAAGGACAACCAAAAGATTGATGGCTGGAGAGTATATGACAATCTAGTACATAGTGGGACTACCGCCTTAGTGTTGGCTGTATAAAGAAGTCTCATCTGTTTGTAATAACACCGGGACCTTGTTTCAGAGATTAACGCTAAAACGAAGCTATGATTAACATTACTCGCGTCTGTTCATTAATTTAACAGCTAATAAAAAAAACCATTTTCTTTGGACCGTTCTAAAACGCATGGTCATTGCAAAAAGTATTTACATAATCTACAGCTACCCTCCTCCCGCGCCATTATCTATATAAATGTAGTGATAACTGAACTTGGTTTATCGTCGGCGATCAGGTAGCTAAATTGGTAGGGCGTCCGCCTAGAGTTTGAAGTGCCAAGGGTTCAAATCCCGGTTTGGCCGTTGCATTTCTATTTATCTTGTTACAAAATTGGCAACCCTTGTTTCAAGCAGTGCGTGATTGCTAAGCGAGGGTGTATATGTATCAGAACATGGGCTGTAAATAGTTTTGTCTTCGGGTGCGAATACTACGAAAATGGAGGGAGGAATGTGTAGCGGAACTTGGACTGGGTCGATCGCCGGCGACCAGAAAGCTCAATTGGTAGAGCGTCTGTCTCGAGTCCGGAGGTTTCCGAATTTTCATTTCTGTTGTTACATATAAAACAGTATCCAATCCTTGTTTTATGACCCAACGTACCATATATAATGACACTCACCTTGTATTGGTATGCTCAGTGTAGACGGACGTCGGCATGGGTTGTCATATACACCAACCAATTATGACGTCATAATCACTTCACTCACACAACCGATATATCGCGTCATAGTAACTTCATTATAACTGTGGTATGACGTCGTAAATATAATTTGTTCTTAGCTCAAGGCCGTGGCTGAATGTAATCTCATGTAAACATTTTCGCATTCAGTCAATGTGAATGCCAACTTGAAATCTCTAATTCAACAAAACATTTCAGTTGGTTTAAATATTGACTACGAGTAAAAAGTAGGTAAAACATGGTTAAGATTAAGTATATGAGCAAAGGTAAATTTGTGTGACGTTTACTCTCTTGACGAAGGAAAATAAAATGCCAATACAATTGCACATAAAAGAAAACATATACATACTATAAAAGATGTGGATTAATTAGGTTGCCTTACAAGCGTCAGCTGTAGTGAATTTCCCTTTAGCTCAGCGGTAGAGTATCGGGCTGGAGAGCCAAGGGTCGCGGGTTCGAGCCCCAGCGACGGCACTATCTCTATCACTATTCTCGTCCTACTACAGGTACAGTACAGTGTGATATATGTAGCCGAAGCAATGTAACCTATATCGCGGTGGCGAAGATTTAGAAAAAGGAGGTAGGAAATTAGCGGAACTTGACTGGGCCGACCGCCGGCGACCAGGTATAGCTCAATTGATAAAGTGTCAGTCCAGAGTCCTGAAGGTCCCGGGTTTGAATCTCGGTCTGCAGTGTGCCGTTTCACGACGCGTACGTAAATTTGCATACGGGTCACCAGACAAAACCCTAGCCGTGAATCTCTCTTTTTTTGTTAAACCTATAACGCGATTGACAACGATACTACCGTTGTGCAAGTATTTCAGTTGGTCAGAGTGACAGTAAAATGATCGGTGGTCCAGGGTTCGAACCGTGGTATGGCCCTGTTGTGTTGTAACACTCAAAACACTGTTGTTATATTGTTAATTTCATGGTAACTATTTTCATAAAAGTTCAGCAATATATGCAATTCTTTCTAGAAATGATTTTTCAAAGCTGCAGTCGTACAAAAAAATCTTTCCAGTGCATAATTACATGTTTTCCCAATGGAATGGGGATCATTCAATTGGATTTTTCCTGAGAACACGTAATTCGTAATCTTTGTGAGCTGAAGCATAGTGAAGGTTGTTAAGTTACTGTGTAACAGGAGATAGAAAAATGCACGGCCAGGCCGGGGTTCGAACCAATAGGCACTACAGTAACAGGAGCGGATGAAATGCACCGACCAGACTGGGGTTAGAACCCAGGACCCTCTGAACCCTAGACGGACGCACTACCAATTGAGCTACCTGGTCGCAGACGATCTACCCAGTTCAATTCCTCTACAATCAATGTCAGACTTTGAATTTCCAATGCTCACCACACCAACTAAGTTATCTGGTCGTTTAATTTCCAGCCTTCATTAAACATTGACAAGGATGTTCTTCTAATTTGAATGAAAAAGTTTGCTTGACGCCGTGAGTTTGCAACCCCGCTTCTTTTTAAAAACCAAACTTACCTTTGCGTGATTATGATGAGTATCAACTTCGCATCTGTTGCCATACACCTAAATGATGACGTCATAATCACATACCCGCAACAAATAAGCTCTGACGTCATAAAATGATTACATGATTCTAAAAATAGAAATGTGGTTTTATATAGGAAAGCCTGCCTAGACATGCTCTTGTCCTATGAGACCGAATTGAAATACATTTGTAATCATAAGGTCGACCTGCTGTATCCGACCGCAGGATCGCAAGGAGCGTCACCGACACCATATGCGGAATCATGGGGTTTGTTCACAAGGACCTGAGAATTTGTTGGACCTAGCTTTGGGTGTGCATAGAATTTTACACGTTTTCGGGGCTCAGATCAGTTTTCGGTAAAAATGTCATCCCCAATTATGGTATATTAAATATTCGGTACAAAATGACCCCCCC